ATATATATATATATATATATATATATATATATATATATATATATATATGTGAAAGGCTTGCGTGACTGATTGATTGACTGACTGATTCATCATCGCCCAGCCCAAACCGTTAAAGCTAGAGTCATGAAATTTTGGTTATAGAATCCTTTGGTATTGTATAGATCCACTAAGAAGGGATTTTAGGAAACTCGAACGTTTAGGGGATGAAATGGGTAAAATTGGTATCCTTATCCTTATCTCCTAAAGAAGCAAAGATATAAATAAAATTCGAATATATCCTTTTTTATATAAAAAAAATAATTAATAGGTGTCTGGTACTTTTTCGAAATTCGACACTATAGAGAGCTAACAGGGTAAAAACTTACCCATTAGAACATTCTTTTACCGCCCACATCTTTTAAACAAATAACCACGCAAATAAAAATTTCAATGAATCCTATTTAAATTAAAGGGTTTTAGAAATCCTTTCGATACTTTTTCAAAATTTGAGCAATGAAGGGTAAAAAAAGTGACTAAAATTGGTACTTTTTTTTAAAAATATATTTTTTAATAAACTTTTGAGCGTCAAAAATAAATAAGTTTCCCAGATATTTAAAAATGAACTGGTATTAATCTTCAGTGGGAAACAGTAAAAATTTATAAACTGTATCCATCCACCACTTCTTTTTGGTACTTTTATGCTGTAAATACTAATAATATTTTTTAAAAATGTTTCAATGAAAATGCCCTTACATCAATGATATTCGAACCCAGGTTATCTAATTTCAGTTTGAGCCTCTAACCACTTATACTATATACGAACTTCCAATCGTAAAGAAAAATACTTATTTTAAACAATCCGTTTTTAAATATATTTTTCACCTTACTCAACAAAGTGCAAAAATTTCTTTAATAAAAGATTAGCAGCAAGTATTAAAAAAGTAAGTTTTAATGAAATTGAAATTCGAAAATGGGCAAATCAATACATATGTATGTACATTGGATTTATATCCACCATAAAAATGTGGGTATATTGATATTGTCATTCCGTTTGTAACATATTGGTCGTTGACTCACAAAAGTGTATATTCTGGTATATATCTAGGAGTATTAAATATTAGGATTATTTAGCCATGTCCGTCTGTCTGTATGTATGTTGAAATCACGATAGCTATAAAGGGATAACAAGAGTATCTAAAATTAGTATAAAATATTTTTCTTAGCTTAATAAAAACGAGCATTAAATATTAATATTTTCTAGCCATGTCCGACTGTCTCTCCATCAGTCTCTTTGCCTGTCTGTTGATATCACAATAGAGTGTAAAATTACAAAATCACAACAAAAAATTTGATTTTGACACAATTATTATAGTTTAAAATCCGCGTAGAATCTTTTATTACGCTAACCAAATGATCATACAAATAATCAAAATCAAGAAGAAATATTTTCCGTTTATTACGAGTATGTCCGTCTGTCTGTATATCTGTCCGCCAGTCTGTTGAACTTTTTATTACGCTAAGCAAATGATCATACAAATAATCGAAAGCAATAACAAATCTTTTCTGTTTTTTGATACCCTCCACATCATCATGTCATTCCGTTTGTAACATTAATAAATTAATTTGTTTCAGATATAAATGATAACAAGAGTATCTAAAATTAGTATAAAATATTTTTCTCAGCATTAAATATTAAGATTATCCAGCCATGTCCATCCGAATGTCTGTGTGTTTGTCTGTTGAAATTACGATAGAGTGAACGGGATCAGCTAGAGGGCTGAAATTACAGAAATATATTCTATGTGGGTAAGGTTTGTTTAATTAGGGTGCTATATAATACTCTTCATTGTAAAATTAAATTTTTTAAATGTATGATAAATTATTACGAGCGTTAAATATTAAGATTATTGTAAAAATTCTAAAAATTTTACACTTTACATAAACAAACAAATTATTTTCGCGTTTTAATTTATTTTTTTTTTAAATGTAGGATATGCAAAATAATAGGGAAACGTGTTAAAATTTTTTTCAGCATAAACATGTTTGCATTCTGAAATTGCATACAGTATATTTTCAAACTTAAAACTAACTGATGGTCTTAAATTTTCCTACACTACTGATGGTCTTTTACATTTCGAGTATATACAATTTTTTACTGTCGACTATAGTAGTTTCCCTTATTATTTTATCTTAGCGTATTAATTGTGAAAATGGAAAGAGAAGTTATAAATATAAGTGGAGTTAAATTGGCCCATAGTATTGTTTCAATTAATAAAGATGGTGCATGTCTTTTTGGGGCCATATCCTACATTTTGTATGATTGCCAAATATTTGCAACAGAAATTCGTGAGGAAAATGTTAGGCATGTGGTAGATAATTGGGAAGAATTGAAAATAATGACACACAATCCTGATGGAGACAACTATCCCAGTATTTCGAATTACATTAGCGAGATGTCACTAATGGGTACATATGGTAGTTTTTGTGAACTGGTTGCTGCTACACAATTATATCCAATTTGTATAGAGGTTTACTACAATGGAGAACTTTATGTTAAACACGGCAATAATGACAATCCGGTTAAAAGGTTGAAGTTTTCAGGAAATTTATCAGGAGGGCATTTTGATGTATATATTCCATGTGAATCGCAAATGGTTTCACGGAAACGTCGAGCCAGATTTTCAGGTAATATAAGAAAAAAACAATTGAATGATGCTGCAAAAACTTATGCAAAAAAAACCTGAAGTACATAGAGATGCTGCGGCAAAATATCAAAAAACAATCCAGAAGCTCATAGAAAAGCAGTGGCGTTCTATCAGGGGAAAAATCCAGAACAACACAGAGCAACTGCTATAATTTATCAGGAACAAAATCTAGAGCAACACAGAGCTTCCGTTGCAATCTATCAATCGCAAAATCCAGAGCAACACAGAGCAGTTGCTTCAGCCTCTCAAAAGAGGCACGCTCAAACTCATAGAGCAGCAGTGGCCACATACCAACAAAACATCCCGAATTCTCATAGAATAAACCAAACACAATATAGAGAACAACGGTCGCTTCCATGGAGAATTAAAGTAAATTCTGCTATGGAATACAATCCTGACATATACTATGAAATTGACCAAACTATAGATATTGGAAAAATTAACAATAAGTGCAAGAATTGTAACACTCTAAAGTGGAAAGATGAATCATCTGGAATGTGCTGCAATGGAGGGAAAGTTCAACTAGAAGCATTAGGAAACCAACCTGATTTACTCCACAGTTTACTAATGGACAACCACCCTGAACATAAGCACTTCATGAACAATATAAGAAAATATAATGGTTGCTTTCAAATGACGTCATTTGGAGCAGGGCATATTTTCCAAGATGGCTTTATGCCGACGTTTAAAGTGCAAGGCCAAGTTTATCACCTGGTGGGTAGTTTATTGCCTTTACATGAAAATCCACAGTTCTTGCAAATATATTTTGTTGGTGAAGATGAAAGAGAAGCAAATTTAAGATGTCAGAACTTTCCTGAAACAAAACATGGATTGGTTAAACAACTACAAAGAATGATGCACGAAGTAAACCAATTAATAAGGGATTTTAAGACAACAATTGAAAATGTTCCACAACAATGTGAATCCTTTGATGTAATTATCAATGCTGATAAAAAACCAGCGGAATCTCATTCAGGTCGTTTCAATGCACCGACATGTAGAGAGGTAGCGTTAGTAATTGTAGGTCAGCAGGGGCGAAGATGGATGTTCTATAAATATTCCTTTACGAGAACCCATAACAAAACTTCCTATCCCTAAAAAGACAGTGTCTGCAGCAAGCTACTACGGATATCGCTTGATGATTCGAGATAATGAATGTGATTATATTTTTCGCTACCGCTCCCTCTTTAGTCAATTCTTAGTTGATATGTATGCAAAAATTGAGACCGAAAGATTAAATTTCATACGAAATCATCAAAAAGAACTCAGATCAGAAAATTACGTTCAGTTAAGAGACGCTGTAGGAAGACAAGACACTAATGCTGCAGAAATTGGACGGGTAGTAGTACTTCCATCAATTTTTACAGGTGGTCCTCGCTATATGCATGAGAAAACACAAGATGCCAAGACATATGTTCGTCATTATGGTCGACCTGATTTATTTATCACTTTTACATGCAACCCCAAATGGCAAGATATTGCAAATGCAATTCTGCCATCCCAGAAGCCCAAGACCGCCACGATATTATATCAAGAGTATTTCACCTCAAAATAAAAAAGTTAATGGCTCTCTTAACAAAAGGACACATATTCGGAAATGTATGATGCTTTATATATTCAGTGGAATGGCAAAAGCGCGGACTACCTCACGTTCACCTATTGGTATGGTTGGAATGTCGTATTAAATCTAATATGATAGACAATGTTATTAGCGCAGAAATACCAAACCCATATACAGATCCCACTTTACACGAAATAGTAAAAACTAATATGATTCCTGGGCCATGTGGTGCATTCAATAACAATTCTCCATGTATGAAGGAAGGTGCATGTAGCAAACATTATCCTCGATCACTATTAAAATAAATACAGACAGGAGATGATGGTTATCCGAAATATCGAAGAAAATCCACAGAAGATGGAGGCTTCACTGTCAGTATTAAAGAAATGGTGCTTGACAACCGTTGGGTAGTTCCATATAATACAGTTTTATTGCGCATTTTTGGAGCACACGTTAATGTTGAGATTTTCAACTCCGTAAAGTCCATCAAATATATTTGCAAGTATGTAAATAAGGGAGGCGATCAAGCTGCTTTTGCTTTAGAAAATGATAAAGATGAAATAAAAATGTACGAATCAGGTCGCTATATTAGTTTCTCTGAAGCATTATTAATCGGAGGAAAAACTGCCCATTCAACATTTAAAATTTCTCTCGATATACAGCAGTTAGAAACTCCAATATGTAATATCTCAAAGCAAAGTAATTTGGCATACCTATTGAAATAATGTAAACTTATTGTCTGGGATGAAAGTACAATGGCCCATAAATGTGGATTTGAAGCTTTAAATAGGTCATTAAAAGATATAAGGTCAAACAACGATATTATGGGAGGAATTACTGTATTATTAGCTGGAGATTTTCGCCAAACCCTTCCAGTTGTGCCAAGAGGATCCAGAGCTGATAAAGTCAAAGCTTGCATTAAGTCATCGAATCTATGGCAGCATACATTAAAGCTTTCTCTCCATGAAAATATGTGCGTCCATCTGAGAGGAGATAACTCTGCACCACAATTTTCTGAAATACTATTAAAAATTGGTAACGGAAATTATCCTCAGGTTGAAGGTAAACTGATTATACCTTTAGAGCTTGGCGTAGTAGTAAATACATTGTCTGAGTTAACGGCTAAGATATACCCTGATATATGCCATATCAACAAAAAATCAAATGACTGGTTATGTGAACGTGCAATCTTAACACCCAAAAATGATAGAGCTGCAGCAATTAATGACAATTTGTTGAATTTATTTGATTCTCCTAAAATGGATTATAACTCAATAGACTCAGTTATACAAGCAGAAGATGCAATACATTATCCTGTAGAGTTCCGAAATTCTTTAAATCCACCAGGATTTCCAAATCATAAAATTATTTTAAAAATTGGAACTCCTATTATGCTGTTACGAAACTTAAACCCTCCAAAACTTTGCAACGGAACACGTTTGGGTGTAAAAGCTCTACATAAAAATGTTATAGAGGCAACCATTTTAACAGGCTGTGCTAAAGGAGATACAGTTTTTATACCACGTATACCGCTCAAAACATCCAATTATCCATTTGAATTTAAACGACTACAGTTTCCGCTTAAAATATCATTCGCCGTTACAATAAATAAATCCCAAGGACAGACCTTAAAAGTTGCTGGTGTAGACTTAACCGACGAGTGTTTCTCACATGGTCAATTTTATGTCGCATGCTCAAGAGTAAGTTCCCCCAAATCTTTTCATCTGACGGAAAAACCACTAACGTTGTATATAAAGAAGTTCTTCATTAAAAGATTTCCTTTGTGTCTGTGGATCTTACCTCTGCCATTGACAATTTACCTATGCTGAAAATACTTTTAAAATAATTCAAAATATCTTTCCAATTACTATCACCAATTAATGTCTTAAACGAAATTCACAAGCCATTATTAATAAATCCCTACAGTCAAACAAAAAATTCCAATACCGATTTTTTACCAAGTAAATTTCAATATCGAATTAGGTAAGCTTCTATATACATAATGCTACATCTGATAAAAAATAATAATTGTAATTCTAAAGGAACAAAATTCTAGCCTCAAATTACTCACTACCATCTCCAAAAACCACTAATGTGTCTACAAAGATATTTTTCGTTAAAAGATTTTCTGTATGTGTGGTGATCTAACCTTTGACGTTTACAACATACCTATACTGAAAATATATTTCAAGTATTAAAACAAATCTATATCAAAAACCACTGTTAATGAATCCTAAAGCCAAATTGAACTTATCAAATCCAATTTCATTCTAAGTCAACATACAGATTGAATAAGGTAAGGTTTTTTAATATATATTGTTACATCATATTTTTAACATCCAATGGATAATAACACAGTGATACAGCAAAAAATGCAGGGGTTCTCATATACCAATTCCATTTCGTTATAGTCCATAGAGTAGGAATATATTTTTAATTTTTCCCGATCACTTCGTTTAGTTCCTTTTTAAGAGCAAAAGCTATTTTTAAAGTTTTAACTTTAAAAAAATATATGTTTGGTAGTTTGCAACCGATTTTCAAATTGGATATTTTGTTTTAAAGATACAAGTGTTGTCTTTCAACCCAAAAAAATAAATCCAAAATTTATGATTAATGTCTTGGTTACGGCCATTTAACTAAACAAACTCACACTTTTTTCACAATTTTTAATTTTCACACTGCTCTACGATGGCCATGAAGCAGTAATTTTAGCTTTTATTACATTTGAAAAAAGGCACATTAAGTTGGGTTTCTAATGATGGTCAATTTATAAAAATCAATGAAAAAGGTTATGAGTTGTGCTAAGTTTTATAAAAATATTGCATATTTCTTCCAAAAACGTTCATGTTTCTGGTTTTCTTTGTAACAAGTTTAAAAAATGTTTAAAAACATTTTTATACAAAAATTAATTTGTATGGAGAAAACCAAAAATTCGAGGAACATGCTATTAGAAAAATTGCCATAAATCATCCAGTTTTTCATAGATTTTTTTGAAATAACAAGTTTTAGAAACCTTCCTTTATGTGATTCTTCAGGAAAGTAATAAAAGATGAACTCACTGCCTCATGGCCAAAGTAGAGTATGATGAAATTTTTTTAAAAAAGTGTGAGTTTTTTTACTTAAACGACCGTAACTCAGACATTTGACCATAAATTTTGGATTTTTTTTTGACTAAAAGGCAACACTTGTATCATTAAAAAATATCGAATTTGAAAATCGGATGAAAACTACAAAACTTATGATTTTTCAAATTTAAAACTTCAAAAATGGCTCTTTTTCGCATCTTTTGCTCTTAAAAAGTAAGTTAACGAAGTGATAGGGAAAACTAAAAATATATTCGTACTCTATGGACTATAACGAAATAGAATTGGTATATGAGAACGCCTGCATTTTATTTTTCTTCACTTTTGTATCACAGTGTAAGAAATCTAATTCCATAGGAAATTCTTACGTCCAACATTATCAATCCATACCCCACAGAAAATTTATAGCTTACTACATTGATATTGTGTTGCTTATTTTGTATTCGAAAGTGCTTACAAACTTACACACACTCTGGCTTACTTTACACAGCGTATGGCCGCTTGAAAATGACACACTAACTGATATACTTGGTTTGCGATATTGTGTGTAGATTATACTTTTTTTATAATATACTTCTGTGTGGAAAAGTAGCTATTCCTACATTCTTACCGATATACCTAGTAAGTAAAATTGTTTCTGCAGCACATTTCTAGCTGGAACACAAGTGTATCAAAAAGTATCTACAACAACTTTCTAGGTTAAATACATGTGTATTAAGAAGTATCTAAATATGTATATTTTTTAAAAAATGCTACCCAAATACATGTATCTACAAATTCATTCATAAGTATAAGGCCATTCCAATTATCGCTAGATCATGATCCTAATTTTAAGCAATAAATTTTGCTTAAAATTCATCTAAACATTGAAAAAATGTTGATCCAAAAAATATTTTTCAATAAATGAAAAATTTTTTGTTGATTAAATTACAGCACACTTGATTTTTTATATTTTAATTTTTTGTTCTCATATACAATGTTAATCACAAGTATATTAAGATGTAATGCAAAAAAATTTTATTAAAAATTGAAACTTCATATCCAGATTTTATATACAAGTAAATCAAATTATAAGTAACACAAAGTAAGGCACACAACATTGGTTACAATTCCGAGTACTCTGAAAATTTTCTGTGGGGTAACTTAAAAACTATTAGTGTTTTGTTAAGAGATTTTCTTTTTGGTTGATGATCTATCTCACTTATTTTCGTTAACAACTTTTCTATATTGACAATTGGTTAAAAATAATTTAAAATGTCTTTCCAATTAACATCTTTAAACAAAATATTATCAGAAGCCATTGTTAATGAATCTTTCTGTCAAATTGAAATTTTAAAAACCCATTCCCTTCCAAGTCAACACACAAATTCAATAAGGTAAGGTTTTTAATATATGTATGTATATTGTTAGATCTTATTTTTAACATTCAACGGAAAATAGTAAATCTAATTCCATAGTGAAAATCTAACCTCCTAATTACTTACTCGCATTGCCCAAAAACTATTAATGTGGTCTATAGAGAGGTTTTCGTTAAGAGAATTCTATTGTGTTTGGTGATCTTACATTTGCCGTTAAGAACTTACCTATATTAAACAATTCAAATATCCTAACTCAAATCATTATCGCAAGCTATTGTTAATGAATCCCTAAAGTCAAACTGAAAGTTATACTTCCATTTTCTTTCAAGTAAACTTAAGGTAAGGTTTTTAAATATATAATCTGACATATTTAACCATCTAATGAAAAACAATAGTATGTTATAGGAAAAAATGCAAACCTTCCAATTATTCTCTGATGTGGTCCATAAAGAAATTATTTATTAAAAAACATCCTTCGTATTTAGTAATATCAGTATTATCGTGCAGAACGTGCTCATACTGAAAAACTGTTGAAAATATTTTTTCAATTAGTACCACTAACTAATGTCTTAATGTACCCAATTATTCACCCAAAAACTACTAATGTAGTCTATCAAGAAATTCTTCGTTGTCGTTAACAACTTAGCTAACTTATAAAATAACGCAAATACCTTCTACTTACCCCCAGCATAAATGAAATGAAGTCCTTCGTGTTTGGTGATTATTTGTCGTTAACAACTTTCCTATGCTGAAAATTCCTTAAAAATAATTTAAAATATCATTCCAATTACTACCATCAACTACCGCCTTAAAACAAACCAAGCCACTGTTAATAATCCCTACTGTCAAATTGGAATTTTCAAAATAAAAGTACTACCAAGACAACTTACAAATGGATTTAGGTAAGGTTCTTTATGCCCTACACCACTTTAGTGGGGAGGGACGAAGCCTACTGAAAATGGTTAAGATCGGTCCATTATTTCACCTAGCCCCCATACAACTGAACCCCCCAATAGGGCTTTTAATCCTTGTAATCAAACTACAGGTCGCAATTTTGGAGATAATTAAATGAAATTTGGCACATGAGCTTTTATGGTATCGTAGACGAAGCCTATTGAAAATGGTTAACATCGGTCCATTATTTCACCTAGCCCCCATACAACTGCACTCCCGAATAGGGCTTTTAAAATTAGTAATCAAACTACAGGTCGCAATTTTGGAGATAATTCAATGAAATTTGGCATCGGTCCATTATTTCACCTAGCCCCCATACAACTGAACCCCCGAATAGGGCTTTTAGGTTCATAATTATGTTTAATATACTCATATCTCGACAAAAAGCTGCAAAAACCAATTTGTATACAAGACTTGATGACCCCCACGAATTCCATAATAATAGGTTCTCATATAACTCTAGCCCCCATCAAAATTTCACTTAAACGTCCACAATTTTATTCAACAATAAACGGCTTAAGTATGTATATCTAAGGTAAGGTACAATTCAACTTAAATGTTTTATTATGGCAACTAAATCACATTATATTTTTGTCAAAGGTGTAGGGTATTATATGGTCGGCCTCGCCCGACTATAATTTCTTACTTGTTTACCTATATTTTTTTGGTTCACTTGATTAGGTTCATTCCGAATAAAATCAGTTTACTCCTGTGGAAAAAATCTATTCATATTCTGGTGTCTGTGAATATAGACATATATATTTTAAAAAATAGGCCGCGGTAAGCCATTGAATGAAGAATAAAATGGCAAAATTTTAGCGTTTTTGGAAACTGTCCAAAATCACAGGAATTTGGCAAAAAAATTGGGCAAATTCAGAATGTTATTCGCAATTTTATAAGAAACCAGTCTGAATATTAAGAAAACATTAATAAACGTACATATGGAGTCATAACAAAAGAAAACAGAAGAGATTTCATAAAATCTGGCTCCAAGACAAGTGATTCTGCAGCAAAAATTGAATAAAAAGTGGGTGTTACAGCAAGCCTAGCTGCAGTAAAACGTATTGTAAGAAGGGCCAAGGCCTTAACAATATTAAAAATATTAATAAAAGCCTTTCCAATTACCACTCGTAATGAAAACGCCTCTTCAGTTTGCACATGAACACATGGTTATAAAAAGCAATATCGACATCTTGTTTTTTCGGATGAAAAAAAGTTTAATTTAGAAGGTCCAGATCGATATAGTAATTTATTTTTATGATTTTTGAAATTAAGAGCTCTACCTGAGTTGTCTGCATTGCTGTG